GGGGGGGGCGGGCCTTGCTCGCCTCAGGCCCTCCTGAGTGTGCCGTCTCTGTCTGGTTTACACTCACCTTAGAACAGGAGCAGAGCTGCGCCTCCGAGGAGGGGAACAGAGCCTGGTTCTAGTCACTCATCCACACACAGAGGCACATCCTCCGTCCCCGCCACCCGCTGCTTTGCTGGCGGGGATGGGGGGCGGGGGGGGGGGGGGGCGACCGCCAAACTTCACCCAGGATGCTTTAGAACTCCCCGCAAAGCCCCGGGAAGAGGAAGAGCACCCTAGTTAGTCTAAGGGGACCAAAGCTATATTGTTTAATTTTTCCTTGGAACTCTAGAACTGGAGGAGTCCTCAAGGATCATTTCTTTCACAAAGACATTGAGAAGCAAACGTCAGCCATGGATCTAACAAGCCCACGGTCGCTGGGCACAAACACACCACACCCGGGCCCGGGCCCGGGAGCCGGTCGGCATTCCTTCCCGGGAATCTGACCACTGCCTGGTAACCAGCAGCTGTGCATATTAAAGACACGTCCCCCCCTCCAAACAGGAAACCCATGTCCTCAGCGGTAAAAGTAAAACCAATACACACATCTGCGAAAACCTCCAGGAACCAGGCTGGAGTGCCCACTTCGGGGAGCAAGCAAGATTACATATTCCACTTTAATTCCAGTGTCAGCAGAGCTTACGAAGGAAGGATTCTTGAGGGAAAAAAAAAATGCAAAGTAAAATAAGACTAGTCATTCAGGCCAGAGGATCAGTCAACATCAGCGTAAGGGCCAGAGACCAATGAACAGAATACAAACTTCCACGAAGTAATGTGACTCTTTACAAAACAAAGAGAAATATGTGTCGTTTCTCAGGTGGGTTCGATCCCATGGACCAGCTTCTCCGGCTCCTGCCCTTCCCAACAGGGAGCTGTCAGTGTAGGTCCCTTGTAGATGTTCGGAGTAAAAGAGGAATCTCTAGCACCTCAAAAATTAACCCTGAGCCCACAGATTAAAATACATAGATGAAAATCAAATAAATTAACAAAAAAGTCATTGTTTATTCTTTTCTGAAGAACTGTTGCCAAACAATTATACCTGAAAGTGGAATATGCTCATGTCAAGCTGGTTAATATATATTTTGGGGGGGGGAGGAGCCTCACACATAAGCCATCAGGTTTCCCTGTCTATCTAAAACATCGCACAGTAAACCCCGAGTTTGCTTCCTGATTCGTAAAAATCATCTACTTCATTTCTTCTCTGTAAACTTGCTTGAAGGTTTTCCACTGATTATTTTGTACAAAATCCCTAATGAAACCCAGCGTTGTGCCGCGAGCACTAGCTGGCCAGGCCGGGGAGGGGTGGTGGGAAGCTCTAAGTGAAATGAGAATTCTGCAGGAACAGAAACAGCAAGTCATCCGATCCAGGGACCTGCCTCACAAAACCAGAGGGCATCTGACTCCAACCGGGGGCAGGAACAGGTTTGATCTTAATTACTGGGAAGCCCTGACAAGTCCTGACGAAGTCGCAGCTTAGCAAGGATCAACTTCTTGATAAATGAGTTTCTCCAGACGAACCTTTTGGATACCAAAGAAATACCTCACACGCGTGGCAGGGAGGAAAATGCCAGTGTTCGGGCGGGTAAGGCGAATGGCTACGTAATCACTAAAACGGCATCTGTGCATGCTTAGCAATATGCTAAATCTGAGAAAAGAAAGATGAAATTTAAATATGAAATGTACAGGCACGCTGCCACACACTGGCAGAACGGCTCAGGGTTGCCGTGTGGAATTCTCGCCTCGATGAACCCAGTGTTTTCCTTCCCATCGCGATGGCCTTCTAGAGCATTCCTGCAGAAATACGGACTGACGCTGGGAACAGCCCCCAGTCGCCACACCTGCCCGATGCATCTACAGAGTGGCGACCGCCCCCTCCCGCGATGAAGTGGTGTGATGGCACCGGCAAAGCCACCCTGGCTTCTTGAGTGCCGGATGGAAGAGAAGGCCAGGCAGAGCACGTTTACCCACAACCCCCCACCAACAGGTGCGCCAACACAGGCATACGAGCCTGATGAGCCAGGGGAGCCCTGGTACCGATGTGAGCTTGAACAATGGCTCCCAGGAGACAGTGAAGGCAGCCTTGCTTAGTGGGGGGCCTGAAAGTTGTTTGACAGGGTCCCCAGATATTCAAGACTTAGGAGTCACTGGCCTAGAGCTCGGATAATCTCTAAAGTCCTTTATGGGGATTTAGGCATCATCTCCGACCCTGAGAGAGCAGCGCAGCCACCACGATGTCAGGGAGGAAAGACAGCGTGAGTCTCCCCAATTCCAGAAACCGGCGATTCTTTTTATAAGTGAATGTTTGAAGTATTAAAAGAGAAGTAAAAAGAATTTGCATTTTAGTCAATTATCACCAAAACATTTCTATTCTACCCTAGGCTATCTAAACATTTTTTAAATATATTTTTCAAATATATATTTTTAAAATATGATTTCAGAGAGGAAGGGAGAGGGAGAGATAGAAACATCGATGATGAGAATTATTGATCCCCAATCAATAATTCTCGACCCCCCACACTGAGGATCGATTCTGCAACCCGGGCATGTGACCCGGGGAATCCAACCGTGACCTCCTGGTTCATAGGTCGACGCTCAGCCACTGAGCCACACTGGCGGGGCTCTAAACATGTTTTACTCTGCGGGCGGAAATTCCTGGAAAGGACAAGACTGTTTACAGCCAGCCATCGTTATCTAGACGGAGAGCCCGTCTTCGTGTATTTCATGACCGTAGTAATGCTAAAGGCCTTTTAAAAACCATTTAATACCTTCTATAACTTTTACGGTACATCAAATTACAAGCGTACTCTCGTGGAAGAAAACTGTCTACATTCTAACACAGCTGCGTGTAAAATGAATAATTGATAAGTGAGGGCAAAGAGCTTTGAAAACCTAGAGGTATTGTATGGATAATAAAAAAAATACTGCAGCCAGCCAGCCAGCCAGGGCCCAGAAACTCAGCCACCATGCAAAAACAGCAATCCGTGAGGCTGGACCAACGCTTGTGGGGGTGGGGTTTTTAATTCCTCCTGGAAAGGAGCTCTGAAAGGTCCTCTCTCCAACTCGGGCAAAAAGCAGTGTCTCTGACAAACAAAACCAGCTACTCGAGGTCCCAGCTCACTGGGCAGCGGGGGATTGCAAAGGAGCTGCAGGCCTCTGGCTTCTGGGTCCCTGCCACCCATCTGTCCGGGGCCCACAGTGACAGGACGGCACGGGTCCTCCTCGGTGGGCCCCTCAGGAACCAACAGGGACCCCTCTATGCTGCCCCCCCCCGCCACTGACATCTTTTGCAACCAGCCTCAGTGCCACAGACTGATGCCCTGAGAACTCCTCTGTGCCGGAGGTCAGCACAAGGACCCACGTCTCCGTCTGGATTCTGCGAAGGAACGACCGTGGTCCGACATTTCAGTGTCGCTGCTGACTGAACGCATGGACCCTTTCATTCTGCGATTTTACATGGACACTGAACTGTGCCGAGAACCTCTGCACACACCTACGCACGACGGATCACTTCCCTTCTTTCCTACCATCGAAAGCTTACTATCAAAGCAGGATGACAAAACGTTTCGGAACTACGTTAGCACCTTTTCCAGTTCACACACTCCACGCAGCCGGGAAGCACGGGCTGAGCCGACAGCCTCATGTTCTCCCTACTAGTGGGGCCCCACTATTCCTGCTCCTACGAAGGCTCATCTATAATAATAAAAGCTAATTAGACTGGACAGCCAAATGACCTTCCGGACGACCTTCTGGACAAAGCTGGGGCTGCAAGGGCCGAGCTCCTTGCACAGATTTCGTGCATCAGGCCTCTAGTCTGACTATGAAATGCCCGTATTCACTAAACCATGCTTTATTCCCTGGAAACCCTGAGCGCTTGGTTGTTCTTCCCGCCAGTATTTCTCAAGTCCTCTTCCACCTCTGGGCATCTTTTTTTTTTTCTTTCCAAAACATAGCAGCTGCCTGAAGCAGTTTGAAAAGAAATCGATGGGGTTTATTTCACATGATTGAGGCCCGAGAACATTAGTAAAGTGCATAAGCTGGGCTAACTGCAGACCTGGGATTCTGCAGGAGAAAAACCCACAGGAAAGCTGCAGGGAAGAGCCCACAGCGAAAGGCCTCCCATCGCGCCTGGGACCACTTCCCGAGGCACATGCTTTCCTTGAGGGGTGGCCTTAGTCCCCGCGACTTCCACCAGGGCCGGCCTGTTCATCCCAGACACGGCACAGGTCCTGACATTATAAAGACTCGACACGAAGCACCTGCAGCCCACTTTGCCTCGTTGATGCCTTAGTTACCAAATCTCCAAGGAATTAAGGGAAAAGTGAAGCTGTAGCCTGTCCCTCCCAGACAGTCTCTGAAGTGATTCTCCCAGGGGCTCAGGTAGGCAACACAGTATACGAGACCGAGGGACCCTCCCCTAATTTAAACACGCAAAACAGACGGCCAGGCCCAAGGGGCCCGGTCCCACCCATCTGGCTTGTGCTCTGACCACAGCCCCCCTGGGACTGCGGAGCCCCCAGGACGGCAGGAGGCTACAGCATCTTCCTCCTCCCCAGGCCCTGCTTCTCCCCAGCGCCAAGCCCCGGCCATGCCTGCGGAGCTGGCTCTGCTTCCAACCTGCAGGGCCATCACGTACAGTCCTCCCCGGGGTGCACAGTCCTCCCCAGGACAGCGGCCCTCGGCACAGAAGCCGCCACCAATGCCCTGGCGGGTACAGCCGGCGGTTCTCCATGGAAACACAGCCGGCCCACGCAGGCCACAGAGCCCCGGCCCTCAGGGCCAGGCTGTGTGCCACCACCAGGCTCCCTTCCATTCACTGGTTCTCTTTGGAACTTTAGAGACGGGGACAGGAAATTGGGGTCGTTCAATAGGGTTTTTTTCTTTCTTTCTTTCCAGCTGCTGCTGACTGAGAAGGGGAAAGACGCTCTCTGACCGAAGCAGGACGGGATGCCAGGCTCGCCTACCGTAAGGGTACTTGGTGTCCAGCTTCCGCTCCGCTGTCCTCCTCCAAGGCAGCAGGTCATCGCTGCACCCGTTGGGCATCCCGTTGTACCCGATGCCCACGATCTTGTTTTCTGCGTTGACGATACAGGCTCCCACCTGCAGCGAAACATGCCCGAAGGCCTGGTGACTGCCTGGCCGGTCTGCCACGCTCGAGGCTGTCCATGGAACCAGAGGCCCGCAGAGCTCCAAGAGGGCACGCAGCTTCTGGGGGTGCTAGGAGCTCTGCGTCCTTGCTTCTGTTCCGTGGCGGTTCCCACAAGCCAAAGAAAGGGCGCCCCTGGCCCCAGATCGGGTGGAGAGGCACCCACAATCTCTCCCACAGGAAGACGGACGCATAGGGGTGCAGCACAAAGGGCAGCAGCTTCACTCTGCCCCGTGAACGGCCTTTGCAATGTGCTCATTGGCAGCCATCTCTGCGTCAGTGAGGGCCCAATCGTCCTCCTGCGAAAGTCACTTACCTGGGAATTGGGATCTTTGCTCCTCTGTGCCGACAGGAAGGCCACGGCCATGAAATACTCGGGCCATTCCAGATAGTCCTCACGTTTCTTGCAGGGGACTTCGCTCATGCTGGGTCTAGAAGGAAAAACACAACGAACATCAGCGGAGAAAAGCATTTGGGTCAATCCGCTCTCCGGTCCACCCCAACCCCATTCAGACTGCCCACGGCAGGACAAGAACAACTTCCAGTGCGTGTACCAATCAGATATCATAGGACATGG